TTGTGGCGTGGCCATCGCTAGCAGTGAGCTATGAGCACACCTCAAACACCAGTGCACGTATCAGTTTACAAGCGTATGGCGCATGCACAGGCACACGTATTCTCACGCATGCACACAAGACACATACACATTACCACACCCAGTTCGTTCGTAAAAGCGAAGCGCGTCGTTGTCTGCAGCGAAAGGTGTGATGGGTTGATGAGATATGGCGATCAGGGAAACAATTGCTCAAGCCAACCTGCTGCACACACACACATACACACACACGTACACACATACACACATACACACATACGCACATACGCATACACACATACACAAACACACGTACACATACACATATACACATACACACATGCATACAGATCAGTTCGCGTGCTCACCTTTGAAGCACGTGAGGGCAATGCCAACCATTCCGATGTGTCTTGCCACGTGTTCCAAGCACTGGCAGCAAGCAACCCACACGCAGGGTGCGTAAGCAGCGCTGTGGCTGGACTCACTGGCACCATGTATTGCATCAGCTCACGCACCCCCGCAACACAGTGCACGCGGTCACATACAGGGCTCAAATGAAAGAATGTATGTGTATGTGTGCACGCACCTCTACCAGGAATTTCCCGAGCCCCTTGCCTTTGTGACCTTCTGCCACATGCAGTTCATAGCAATACACGACCCACTGCTCATCTTCCTCGTCGAGTAAGAAGATGGTGAAGCCAATCAACTGCGCTTGAATGAACGTCCACATGTGTGTGTGTGAGTATGAGTGTGTGTGTGTGAGTATGAGTGTATGTGTGTGTGTGTGTGTGTGTGTGTGTGTGTGTGGTAGAGCTTAATGGGTGGACGGATTGCAGCACACTCCGAACCAGTGCAACGAACGCCCTCCCCCCCCCCCCCCAACCACACACACAAAGAAACGCAGTGAGACATGTGCAGACAGCATGCATGACAATGCCACATGCACCTGTTGCTGTTGCAACAAAAGGATGAAGTGCATGCCCTCAGCAAACAGCTCGTCCTCCTTTTCTGACCAGTCCCAGCCGTGTTTGTCGTACGCCGGCCTCATGCGATCCAGCATCGTCCAGATGTCACTCAGGTAAGGTGACTGCAGCACCTTGTCATGTGTCCAACACCGGGCCTCCAGTGCGTCCCTTTCTGCGCGGCCACCATCAAGTGCGCTTCCCGCATTTCGCTTGTCTCCCTCTTCACGTGCCGCTTGCTCCACATACCGCTGCTGCTGTTGCTGCTGCATGCATCGTTGCTGCATGTATCGTTGCACCTCGTTCACAAACAGTGGCGAGTGGTCCTGCTCAGTGTCAAACAACTTCTTCTTCTCCGCTTCCGCCATGGCTAGAACTTTCACTAATGTGGGAGTAAATATTCTACAAACACATCGATCTCCAGCCAGACAAAGAGGGAAGAGCAAACACCCAAAGCCACCAATGCCATGAGTGACAGTGGTGCAAGCAGCAGTGCTGGTGGCGATGATGCGGACCGCCGACGTCGCAGACGCAGGGGACTCCTGCGAATGTACTACGGTGCCAGCAAAGAGGAGGAAGACAAGAAGAAGAAGCAGAACCCACTCGACCTGGACGGCGAAAGGTGGGTATGCGTGTGTGTGTGTCTGTGGGTATGTGTCTGTCTGTGCCTGTGTCTGTGTGTGTGTGTGTGTGTTTTTGTCTGTGTGTCTGTCTGTGTGAATGTCTGCATGTGTGTGGTGTGTGTGTTTGTTTGTGTGTGTCTGTATGTGTGTCTGTATCTGCGTCACTGTGTGCCTGTGAACTTGGTGACATGTGCGGTCCTCCCTCTCCTACGCTATGTACTGGTCAATCACTTCGCTTCATACCACCCACCTCTTTTGCACCTGTGCGGCTTGATGCAGCTTTGATGGTGACGCATACCTGGCAAAGATGTACCGCACCCATCATCTGCAAAGCATCATTGACAAGGAGTCCAAACTCGGCCGTGAAATCAAGGCTTTGGACAGCGACATGCAGACCCTTGTCTATGAAAACTACAACAAATTCATCAGGTGCGAAGCTGACAAGCGATTCAAGGGCGTGTGTTTGTCTGTTAATCGTTCTGTGCCTGGGTGTGCGTGTCTATCCACCTGTCGCCTGTCTCATCTCTCGGTGTGTTCGTCTGTCTGTTCGTGTGCACGTGTGCAGTGCAACGGACACCATCCGCAAGATGAAAACACAGGTGGACAGCATGGAGGCGGAGATGCAGAAGCTTGCGGAGAACATGGAGCAAACGTCAAAACTCAGGTTTGGTGGCCCACATGTGACATTGACGCATTTCCGCCTACGATATGCCTCTCACATGCTGTTGTGCCACCAAAGACAGCCCTGCAGAGCGCTTGGCGAACATGAATTGACGCACAATCTAATCTCACCCACTCCGTGCCCTGTTCGTTTTGCACAGCGAGGACATCACCACGACGCTGCGCCCGCGGCGAACAGAGATCAGCCGTCTTGCATCTGGGCACGTGATGCTCAAGAAGTTCCAGTTCCTGTTTGAGCTCCCAGCCCGTCTGCGGCAATGCGTTGATATGGGCGCAGTTGCACAGGTACGTACGTGCGCGCGCGTGTGTGTGCATGCATGTGGTGTGTGTGTGGTGTGTGTGTGTGTGTGTGTGTCTGTGCGTGTGTCTGTGCGTGTGTTTTCATGTGTGTGTACATGCATGCACAATTGTGCGCATGTGTGAGTGTGTGTGTGTGTTTTCAAGTGTGTGTACACGCATGCACAATTGTGCGCATGTGTGAGTCTGTGTGTTTTCAAGTGTGGTGACACGACTCCATTCCCTCACTCGTATGCTCATGACAACTTCCACGTGTCGCCATGTACCATGTCACAACTGCCATGCACGTGCACGTGGTTCAGGCTGTGGGGTACTACGGCAAAGCGTCGCGCGTGCTGGAAGCATACCGTGATCTGGAGTCATTCCGTGGCATCTACACCAGCTGCCGCGAGATTATGCGTGCACTGCACAATGACCTGCAGGCTAAAGTGGAGGACCCAAACACAAGTCTGGCCGAGATACGCGAGACACTGCCGCTGCTGGCGCAGATTGGGTTTGACAGCGAAGACGCCTTGTCTGCACGCTTATTGCAGCAGGCGAAGCGACAGTGGGATACAGATCGCACTGCTCAGGAGGAAAACTACTCCAGGGGTGAGCATGCATGCTTACTGTGGTGCACCTCTCTTCTTCATTTGTGTGTGTATTGTTGTTGTTGTTGTTGTTGTTGTTGTTGTTGTTGTTGTTGTTGTTGTTGTTGTTGTTGTTGTTGTTGTTGTTGTTGTTGTTGTTGTTGTTGTTGTTAGTGGTGGTGGTGTTGGTGTTGTCGTGGTTGTTTTGTGTGTGTGTGTGTGTGTATGTGTGTGTTGGTGTGCTTCGTGTGTGCTCGTGCGCATGGATACATCTTCTTCATGCGCACGCTCGCTTGTGTGCCCCTGCAGATTTGGAGGCATTTGCTGCTTTGCAAGCCGAGGAGGCGGAGAGAGAAACAGCAGACACCGCCAAAGCAACCGTGGGCGATGATGGTGACGATGATGACGATGATGGTGGTGGTGGTGATGGTGGTGGTGAGCACAACAAAGAGAGGGACGAGGGCCAACAGCAAGACCAGGAGGAGCACTCACCACAGCAGCACAATGAAGTTGGTGATGGCAATGAAGATGAGGAGGAGGATGCTGTCACAGCAGCGGCAGGAGTAACAGAAGGCGCTGTGGCTCAACGCGGTGGCGGTGGAGACAATGTTGACGATACAACCAAAAGTGGCGATGATGAGGGGAGTCGGCGTGAAGTGCAGCCCACACACGAGGAGGAGGAGGAGGAGGAGGAGGAGGAGGAGGCGAAACAGCTGCTGCAAGCGCCGTCCAAGAAGAACAAGAAGACGTGCGATGATGGTGGTGAAGGACGAAGAAGAAGAAGAAGAAGAAGATGACAGCAGCGACGCTGGCGCACAAACCGCTCGCCGCATTCTTGACATTCACACGCAAGCGATTGTTTTACGGCCTGGTGGAGTGGATCATGTGCTACCAGGACATTTTTCTTCCTCAAGGTCAGTCGAGGTGTGTGTGTGTGTGTGTGTCTGTGTGTGTGTGTGCACCTGTGTGTCTGTGTGTGTGTCTGTGTGTGTGTCCGTGCTTTTTCTTGTGTGCAAATGTGAATGTCTGCGCTGCTATGAGTATGTGTGTTTATTGTGTTCCTTAAACGCTGTGTTTGGGCTGGGGATGCTCACATGTCCATGGTTGTCTCAGGCAAGCAAGACAACGAGGACCGGGAGAAACAGGAACAAGAGCTGTTTTCGTTTGTGCAGAATCTCATCACCACGGACTTCTTGCCATCTCTCAAATCAAAGTGCGTCTCCTTCGTACTTGTCCTCACTACTGACGCCTGCGACACACATGCCTGCGAGAGACAGCGTTTGGTTTCGTGCGCACTTGATCTCTTCTCAGCTTCCCGTTCACACGCGCATGCACACACATGAACACATACCAACACACATCGTCTCCACTACCCAAACATGTCACCATATCACCACATCACCTCATGATCAGGCTCAGCGCCGTGCTTGAGTGGCCAAAGTTGACGGCTGCAGACATCACAAACGCCCTCCAGCAAACACACCAACGTCAGTGCACCAACACCTGGTTAATTGTGGGCGTGCATATGTTTGCCTGTGTGTGTATGTGTGTGTGCGTGTGTGCGTGTGTGCGTGCGTGTGTGTGTGTGTGCCCGCGTACTCGACGATTCACTCCATCCATCCATCCATCCATCCATCCATCCATCCATCCATCCATCCATCCATCCATCCATCCATCCATCCATCCATCCATCCATCCAATGCAGGCATCTCCACGCTCGCTGGCGTTTTGACTGGCGGCGATCTCACAGCGGATGGCCTGCAAGTTGTGGTCGACGTCGCAGACACATACACGCAGCGTTGCATTGCCGGTGTGCACACAACACTTGGTTGCATCATGGCATCAGCGCTGGAGAAGGCAACAGACCTCAACGCGTTTGACAAGGCGGTGGAAGACGCATGCGCTGCTGTGGACGAAGCGATGCTGGCAGCAAAGGATGATGTAAGGCGCGACAACAACCACGGGAGAGTGTGAAAGAGAGAGCATATGTGTGTGTGTGAGTGAGAGAGCGAGTGCATGTGTGTGTGTGTGTATGTCTGTATGTGTGCGTTTGACACGTCGTGTACATCGCCTTTGTTGCGTTTTCTGTGCACACGCCACCTGCTCAAACTACCCCCACCACCATTGACTTGCTTGGATGCGCATGCGTTTAGTTGTCAACACTAGCGGCTGGAAGTTTTGCCCCTGAACACGATTTCTTCAGCTCCACATTCGTCAACAAGTGAGAACAAAAGCCTCTGCGTGTGAGCCTGAATGCTGCTGTCGCTTCAAACACGACGTCGCTTCTCACACCATTCCTGCAAATATGCACACGTGTGCGTATCATGTAGACATGTGCGACAAGAGTTGCTGCTGCAATCTGCCATCCATCTCTCCTCAACCATCGAACACGAGGCCACCACGTACGTATGCACTCGAAAATGTGTGGTTGTGTGTGTGTGTGTGTGTGCGAATGTGTGTGTTCGCGTCCGTGTGTGCGTGGGCGCCCCTGTGTTTCTGTGTCCGTGTGTGTGTGTGTGTGTGTGTGTGTGTGTGTGTGGGCGCCCCTGTGTTTCTGTGTCCCCGTGTGTGTGTGTGTTTGTGTTTCTGTGGCACATGTGATGCAAGATGAATTCTGCGATGACTTCCTGACATCCTGACGCGTGTGTACATGTGTGATGTGCAGCAATTGGCGGGCGCTGTTGTCGTACCGAATTGCGTTTGAATGGACCGAGAACCGCCTTTCCACGAGCACACGCAACATTCTTCGCGCATTCCCGGCTCAATCAACACGTGAGAATACGTAGTGCGTATGTATATGCGTGTTTTGTGCGTGTATGTATGTATGTATGTGTGTGTGATTTGTTTATGTGTGAAGCATAGGTGTGCATGCTTCATGCGTGTGAAACACGTGTGCGTGCACAGTGCGTCATCTTCTGCCGCGCTTGTACTCATTTTCACCACGGCCGTCATCTATTCTGCTCATTCTGCGTTCAGATAAGGATGATCTTCTGAAGGAGGAAGTGCTCTCTGTGGGGCGACGCGCTTGCAAGGTTGCGGCATTGATTCCTTGTCTGATTGATTGATGCATTGGTTGATTTGATTGACGTGTGCGCGTGTTGCACGTGCCTGTTTGCTTGGTCATTCTTGGACGCTCACTCAAGTGGCTGCAACGTTTGCTTCGCTGCTTGGTTGGTTGTCGTACCCGTCCTGCAGTGGTTGCTGAACAAGTTTACACAGCTGTCCGGCACGGCCATGTCAAAGGTGCCCAGCCCACGCAACGCGAACAAACAACAACAACAACAACAACAACAACGACAACAACAACAACAACAACAACAACAACAACAACAACAACAACAACAACAACAACAACAACAACAACAACAACAACAACAACAACAACAACAACAATAACAGTGACATGTGCCTTTGACTTGTGCTCCCATTCTGCCCATGCCTTGTGGTGCTTCTTCAACTGTTATAGCACACAAGGTCCATGGTCCCCTTTCGTCCCCAACTCACCGCCACCACCCTGTGTTGCTCTGTAGGAAATGATTCTCAGCGTCCGCGAAACAGCGCCACTGTCGACACCACAAGATGACGACAAGCCCTCGCCTCGCATCGCGGTACGTCGCAAGCATACATGTGTGTGTTTGTCTCTTTGGAGGCCGATTCTGCCAACTCACAGCAGAAACCCTGTGTCTGCATTCATTCACATTGAGACACACACCCTCTCTTACACGTCGACATGCACGCACACGACCACTCAAACACACAAATACACAATGCCACCCACGCGTATCGCCATTCAGGGTGTTGTGAAGGAGCTTGGCGAGCTGGCCGGAAAGTTGAGCGGAGTCATGCCGGCGCCCAAGTCGTCACCGCTGTCGTCGCTGTCGCCGTTTGGTTCACGCATCCAGCGCGATGCTGTCACGAACGTGCACCGCCTCTTTCTGGAGGCGATCCAGGTCTTTCAGGAGCCGAAGAACACGCTTGACAGCGTTCTGTCGTGCGTGCTTCTGATCATTCTCAAGGTATGGGGAACACTCTTGCTTGCTGCGCGTCTGCATCACGCGGCTGTTTTTGCCTGACTGCAGTTGTGTGAATGTCGTCATGATCGTGCTTTAACACGACGCAACATCATGGGCGTGTGCGCAGGCCTTCTCCGAAGCGATTCGAGAATGCACTCTGACACCAGCAGCCGCTCACCAGCTTCAGGTGTGTGTGTATGTGTGTGTATGCGTGTGTAGATCTGTATGTGTAGATCTGTGTGTATGTGTGTGTAGCTGTGTGTAGATGTGTGTGTAGATGTGTGTAGATGTGTGTGTGTGTGTGTGTCATGGCGCGCATGCTCTTACCAGCAGCATGACATTATTCGATGGCGCACAAACATGTAGATGTGTGCGAATTTTGCCTCTGCTAACACGCTGCATGTGCAATTCATGCGAACACCTGCTGGCCTGGTTGTGCAGGTGGATGCGGTCTACTTGCACACACATCTCACCGCATTCGTTTACGACGAGGATGTTGAAGGGTGCGTGTGCTCATGTGGCGCTCTCCTTTGTCAGCGCGACTGCTGCTGCTGTTGTTTGTTGTTGTTGTTGTTTGTTGTTGTTGTTGTTGTTGTTGTTTGTTGTTGTTGTTGTTTGTTGTTGTCGTTGTTTGTTGTTGTTGTTTGTTGTTGTCGTTGTTTGTTGTTGTTGTTTGTTGTTGTCGTCGTTGTTGTTGTTGTTGTTGTTGTTGAATGAGGCAATACAGTTTTCTGCATCCCATCTCACGACAGCTCGCGACACACGTGCTCGCTCACAACCTCCACTGCGTATTTTGACAGGTCTGTGTGTGCGCTGCTGGCCCAAGCGGTCAACGCTGTTCTCCGACGAACACCAGAGCCGCCAGCCCTCCTACCCGTCCTTGACACCGCGTAGAGCGTGCAGCGGTGTGACGTGGTGCGGTGCAGTGTGGTGGCAAATCAGGTTTCTCACCTCGTCATACGCACCACATCATCATCATTCACTTGGCTGTGATTTGGCAAAGTGTGTGTGTGTCTGTGTGTGTGTGTCTGTGTCTGTGTGTGTGTCTGTGTGGCTCTGTGTGTGCCTGTGTGTGTGTGTGTGTTGTGTTTGTGCGTGTTGGGTTCGCTACACTTCAACGGCCGTCGTTGTCCTCTGAGATCGTTTTTTGCAGTGTGGTCGTCTGTATTGCTGAATGAATGAAGGACGGCTTAATCAAACAAAACATGACACGACACAAAACGCTGGAACATGGATCTCAAGAGAGGAAAGGACACGCCTCTCCTCCAAGTGTCACCCATGACGGCGGCGGAGGAAGAGGGTGAAAGATGATGAAAGATGCAACTACACTGCCACTGTAACAGTCTGCAGACTAAGAACACAGCTGGCATCCACGACAGGCGACATCACAACACAAGAGCGTGTGTATGTCCCATGTTGCATGCAGCTCATTCCTTCTTTCCGTTTGGCGCCTTCTTGTCGGCACCATCATCATCGTCCTCATCCTCGTCGTCATCGTCGTCTGCTTGCTCGCCATCAACATCTTCCAGAAGCATTCGGAATCCCATTTGCACCGTCCCTGTGTCGTGTGGATGTGATGTTGTGTTGGATGAAGAGGGGTGGCATCGCGTGAGCCAAGCAAAGCGACAGCAACTCACATAGGGATGTACACAACGCACACACGCACACACGCAAGACGAACACTTGTGTTGACACGCGCGCACACACAAGACGAACACTTGTTATTTCACACACATGCACGCACGAACCTTCCATGTATCCCATCTTCTTCTCGAGTCGCGCGAGACGGTCGTCAACAGCGGTAAAACGCGCTTCAAGCTTCTGCTGATGACTCTTCAGATGCGACACAAACGTGTTGAGGGACTCCTGCACGAGCGCCTTCACGTTGACGTTGACGTTGTCCTGCTGCGGCTGTGATGACTGGTGCTGATGCTGGTGGTGATGGTGGTGGTGCGCGCTGCCGTCAGCAGGCGAAGTGGCTGGCGGAGCCGTGAATGGCGTCGGGGTCTTCATCTGTCAACGATCGATGACAACCGTGGCAACGACGGGAGGTAGAAGAAAGTGTGAGAGGATGGCCAAGGAGGCGAGAATGCGACCTCAGTGTGCATGGCTGCACACGCACGCACACGCACACATACACGCACACGCACACGCACACACGCACACGCACACATACACGCACACACACACACACTTTCACATTACATCACATTGTCACATCACATCACACCACATCACATTGTCACATTACATCACATTGTCACATCACATCAAATCACGACGCACCTCCTTGAGGATGGGGTCGGTTGCGGCGGGCGAGTGCACGCATCACCCAGGGCGAATACGGGGACGGCAGCTGCTGCAGCGCAACCACGGGCTTCTTCATCTTCATCGCAAGCCTGCAGGCAAGAGAGGAGGCAATGGACAAGCATGAGGTGTGTAGGCGCATGTGTGCGTGTGTGCATGTGGGTGAGCATGTGGGTGAGCATGTGGGTGAGCATGTGGATGAGCATGTGGGTGCAATGGGGTGAGCATCTGGCTTGGCGAGTCACATGAGCCAAGTGAACGAGAAGGAAAACAAGGCAATCGCAGCAAGGCACAAATCAAACCGTGGAGAACGCCCATGCACGCACGGCAGTCAGCTGACACTCAACGTACTCTGTGTATGCGCGGCAAGGAAGGCAGTGCTGCAGCTGTTTGGTGACCACGAGAAGCACAACGGAGCACGCTGCAGCTTGCGCCTGCACTTCCGCGGGTGTCGGCCTGATTGTATGTATGCGTGTGGGGGGGGGCGGTGGTCGTGGTGGTGCAGATTGAGTATTGATTGAGCTTCAAGCACGAGGGTAAGCCCATGAAATACGCAGATACGGACTGTTCAGGACAGGGAACTCAAAAAAGATCTTGTGTCGCTCTCACCTGTTCTTTGGCATGAGCGACTCTGCGTGCATGTCATGCGCCACAGCGATTGCCTCGACACTCTGTTGTATCGCCTACAGCCGTTTCCACGGAGGAACAAATTCGGTGGGCGAGGGATGAGCACGCGGGCATGCAAGCGAAAATGCCAGCGCATGTGTGTATGGTGTGTTCTTGTGTGTGTGTGTGTGTGTGTGTGTGTGTGTCTGTGTGTGTGTGTGTGTCTGTCTGTCTGTGTGTGTCTGTGTGTGTGTGTGTGCGTTCGTGTGTTCGTGTGTATGTGTGTGTGTGTGTAGGTGTGTAGGTGTGTAGGTGTGTCTCTGTGTGTGTAGGTGTGTGTGTGTGTCTGTATGATGTGTATGGTGTGTATGCTTGTACCTCGCCATCATTTGACGCGACGACAAGCGCGTGTTTGGATGTCAGCGGCGGTTCCTGTCGATGATTGCACGAACATCACATGGTGAGCAAGTGTATCATGCAGTCGTGTCCAAGCGTGCACACGTGTGTCTCGTCGGTGTTGGTGTAGCGTACCTGGTCTGAGTGTGAGAGGAAGAGTTGAAGACTTGCGGGAAAGAGGGATGGGTAGAATTCACTTGCAACAGCCTGATTACAACACATAGCAGCAAGAGTGGTGAGTGCTGGTGTTTAACATGCAGCACATGCTAACAGCACATAGCTTTGCATCAAGTCACATACACACGCGCACCCCATGCGACACGCAAAACACGCACACACACGCACACACGCAAGTGCCCAGAGTCTTGGCACATCATGCCATTGCACGCTGCCCACACCTCATCGTCAGCCGTCGACTTCTCCAGCGCCTCGACCTCCTGCAAGTGCATCGCAGTGATGATGAATGGCATTCAGAGGCGTGCCCTCACGCAAATCACAAACGAGTACAACCGTGATCCCAATCGACACGAATGATCACACACACACACACACAAAGAGAAGAGAGAAGAGAGAAGAGAGAGAGAGACACACACGCGCACACACAAAGAGAAGAGAGAAGAGAGAAGAGAGAGAGACACACAATAACTACACACGCGCACGTGGATGACGAACCGGGAGGAAATCTCGCTTGAGGTCTGACTTGAGGCTGCAGATGAACGAGAGCTGGGAGAGGAGGCGAGCAGCAGCAATGTCGAGCGACCGGCACTCTCCAGGCTGTTGTCAACACGCACACGCACAGGCACAGGCACAGGCACACGCACACGCACATGCACGCAATATGGTGTTTGGGGTTGTGTGGTGAGAGGATATGTGTGGGTATGGGGGAATGCACATGGCGATGAAGAAAGCACTACATACCATTGACGCGCACTGCAATCAAACACAAACACCAAAGTATTTCACGCATGCACACGTCTGTTGTCTTCCCCCTGGTCTGCATCTGCGTGCACCTTGTAGTCCTTGAAGACGAGTGCAAGAACGACACCGCTCCTGACAATCTCCTTCACGATGTCGGAGTAGCACAGGTCTGCCAAGCTCGCCACCAGCGTGTGTCGCGCAACAGCGTACAGCGCCGCGGGCCCGGCTTTCTTCTGTTCCTCCTCCTTCTCCTCCTGTTTCTCCTTCTGCTCGCCCGTGGCATCCTGCCGCACGTGTTTGTGTGTTGTGGGAAGGGTGGCGGTGAGGCGAGAAGTGCGTGCTGTGTGGTGTTGCGTTGCGTTGAGCCCAGAACACATGGGTGTAAGCTCAAAGCACGGCATGCATGATACGTCACCGATCAATCAATCGTACCTTGAGTGCTTGTGTGAGGACGCCCATGACAGATTGAAGAAGTGACTCTTCAAGAATGCCCTTTGAGGCGACAGAGAGTGCACATGCAGCCCGTGTCGCAAGCTGGTGTGAAGCCGCACAACACACAACACACACAAAGCACAACACACAAACACACACGACACACGACACACAAACAGAGGCGTCAGCGTGGCAAAATAAACGAAGGCGAAGGGGGATGAGTGCGAGAGTGAATGGATGTCAGCGAACAACCATAACGGCAAAGGCAGCACAGAGGTTCATGCGTGCATGCGACCAAACAGTGCAAAATGTGCACGCGCGTGTGTGAACCAACCGTTTTGTTTTGGTCCTGCGTGACGAGGCGCATCAAACTCGGCACAGCGGATGATGCGTCCAGTCCAAACGTCGTCGCCATCGTCACGAGATTGCACACCGCATGCGCAAGGGTCGTCCTGAAGTGTGTGTATGTGTGTATGTGTGTGTTTGTGTGATTTGTGTGTGTGTGTGTGTGATTTGTGTGTGTGTGTGTGTGTGCGTGTGTATGTAGGTGAGTAGGTGGTTGAGTGTGTGGTTGCGGCTGTTGCGCTTGTTGTTGTTTTGTTGCTGAGGAACGAAACAGAATGCATGTGGGGGTGAACACAACGCTCCAAGAATAGCGAGAGGCACATGTCATGCAGATTCAAAACTGAGGCAGCGCCCGTACTTGATGGCGTGGTTTGCTTCCAGCAGTGGCAGCATGCGCTTCAGCGTATCGCCTTTCAACACCGCCCGGCACCCGCTCTCTGTCGTTGTCACAGCAACCAGCGCACGCGCAAGCTACACATGCGCGCACACGTGGTGTGTGTGTGTGTGTGTGTGTGTGTGTGTGTGTGTGTGTGTGTGTGTGTGTGTGTGTGTGTGTTGAATGAAGACGGGTGAATGGCAAGGTAAATTTTGAGGGAACGGCCACAGCTTTGCACGATGATACTTAAAGTCGTCCACACAACAGCGGTGCTGCAGCCCAAGGCAACAGCACTGCACAGCACCAACCTCCTCCTGCGATTGGGCGTGTGCGGGGTTGGCGACGCTGAAGTTTGTGAAGATGCCAGGAAGGACATCAGTGACGAGCGTGACAATGGTGTCGCGATGCTCCTCCTCCCAAACAAGACCGCTCAGCGTACACAGCACGTCTGCCGTGGACAAAGGCAAACAAGTGTAAGATTAGGTGTGTGTGTGTGTGTGCGTGCGTGCGTGCGTGCGTGTGTGTGTGTGTGTGTGTGTTGCAAAGGAGTGTGTCAAGTGTCAAGCAAGGGATTTGCACATGTGTGCATGCGTATACGTGTGCAGGCGTATGCGTGTGCAGGCGTACGTGCGAGTTTCCTGGTGTGGATGAACGGCGCCTTGCCGATGAGACGGATGATTTTGCCCATCATCGCCGACTTGAGCATCTTCGCCGTCATCCTACCAGAGTGAAAAAAACCAGACACGTGAACACGTTCGTAAGTGTACGACGTACAAACGCAGCACACAAGGTACATATGGTATAAACCACAACACACAACACACAACACACGAGAGCGTGCGTACACAATGAAGAACAAATTATTGGTACTGACTCTGTGCTTGAGTCTGTGAGGAGTTCGAGGGCAGTGAGCATGTCGCCACAGTTTTGCTTCTCAGAGAGTACAGACGCGTGCACCGCCTTCAGGAACCCGCCTGCACGCAGTCAAGACGTGTGTGTGTGTTGTGGTGTGTGTTGTGGTGTGTTGTGTTGTGTTGTGTGAGAGTGAGTGAGAGAGTGTGAGTGTGTGTGCGTGTGTGTTGTATTGTGTTTGTGTATGTGAGAGAGTGAGAGTGTGTGTGTGGTATGTGTGATCGTCGCATGGTCCTTTACGAAGGGTTGAGGACGGCTTGATCAACGGGTGCAGCATATCAACCACTTGACAGACGCGCGTGTACTCGTGTGTGCGCACCCTCGTCTGTCCAAACGTCGTTCTTGGGGTCAGCCTTGATCAGCGCTTGCAGCGTTTCTGAACGTGACAGCGCAGTTGGGACAGCAGGTATGACATGGTTTGATGATAAGATGCGCTGTTTCGCTTCGCCCGTGCGCATGCGCATGCCGTGGCAAGGCACGAGGCAGCCAACAACAATCACCATCATCACTTACAGCAAGCTCCAATGAATGCAAACCAGCCCCCCCCCCCCAAAAAAAAAAACCAGCGACCAACACCAAACAACCACCAACCACCATCGCCACCCTCGGCCACGCTCTTGTACATGGGCGAAAAACGTACTTG